GCCCCCGTGGCAGCCCCCCCGTCAGCCACCAGCACGTAAGCCCTGGCGCCGGCATCATCAAAGCGGATGGCAAAGGCGAACTCCTCGGCGGCCTCGCACAGCTCCACGGTGCAGCCCTCCAGCACCACCAGCCCCACGGGCTCCCGGCTCTCCCGCTCCTCGAAGTAGAAGAGGAGGTTGCCCTTAAGGACAAACCAGCGGCGCTGGTAGGAGGTGTTGTGGTGGTGGGCATGGTGGTGGTGCCGCTCCACCCGCTTGCGGAGGAAGCCGGCATGGTCAGCAGGCGAGTCACAGGTGGCGTAGTGGGCCACGCTCCGCTCGTTCAGCTTCATCGCCCTGCCTAGGAGTGGAGGCAGAGGGGTGGAAGAAGTTGGCTCAGAGTGAGGAACATCTCACCTGCCCTAGCAGGAGAGGCCTGATCCTGCCCCGAGCCCACCGTGGGGAGAAGCAGCCCCGACTCCAGCAGCCAGTGCTGCAGGACAGTGTCTCACCCAGCAACCACCCCTGTGATGGCAGGCTGGCTCCTCGCTGCTGCACAAAGGTGGTCATCACCACAGTCCCACCACAGCCCCATCTGCCTTCTACGGGAACACCACCACTGCTGCTTCATTTCTTACTCCACGAGTGACCTACTTTGCTGGATTTTTTATGGGGCACATCAAAGAAATTTGCCTGACAGACATTCATTTTGCTCTCCTCTATATAGGGCAGGATAAGGAGGGCGTTTTCAGACCCAAGGGCCTCCATTTGAGCACCCTCTCTCCCGTTCCCATCTCCATGCAGGACCACCCGTCCCGACCAGCCCTCCCAGCAGCAGCACCCCCAGCCCCGGCAGGTTCAGCGGCAGCGGGGTGCAAGGTGCCGTACCAGCTGTGTGGGTCAGACTGCAACCCCTTGCCGTCTTCCTTGGACGGGCTGCTCCCTTGCCGAGGGCGTCCGAAGCTTCACCATGCCGAGCCCCATCCCTGGTCAGAGGAAAGGTGGCAGAGAAGGAGTCACAAACCAGAACAGCTTGGGACTGAAAAAGCAAAGAGCTGCATCGCTCCCACCCAAGAAAGCCAGGTCCCTCGGCGCACAGGAGCAGCCAGGGCCAGGCACTGCAGGCGGGCAGCTCTGGAAACCAGGATGGCAAAAGTGGGGGCACGTGCATTGGCTTCAAAGCCCCAAACCCCATCTCAGCTCAGGTCAGCGCTCCCGTGGGCTTGGTTTTTGGCTCCCGTAGGTTTGTTTTGGTTTTATTGCAACAACAACAAAAGAAAAGCTTTTGTTAGAAGCCCATCACTGCACCGTCTGCAGATGCCCCGTGGCAGGCGATTCGGAAAGGCGGCGGGTCCCGCAGAAGGATGCAGCGAGCACAGCCTTTGCGCTTTTACAACTGCAAATGGATGTCGAACCGCTAAAACTCTGCATGCAGAAATATGCAGAAAACAAAC